TTCCCACGGAGCAGCTGCAGTCCACTAACAGGGCCGGGGCCCTTCCCCTGCACCTGCTCCTGCACCTGGTGAAACCCTACTGAGCGCCTACAGGTCACCTCCTCCAGGAGGCTGCCCTGACTTCTCACAAGAGTTCAAGGCTTTCTGATCATTCACAGGCCCCTGAGCTTCCTCTGTCACGTGCCAGCCATGAAGAGCACTCCCCTTCCCTCCCCTGCCTCCTAGCAGCCCCAGTTGTGTCTGAGTAAGCTGTGCTCCCCACGGCTTCCAATGGCTGACCTCCCCTCCCCGAGAAGGACAGCCCCGGGCCCTCTTCCTGAAGTACACCTGACTGTCTCGAACTGCCAACCTCCCCGCTGGTCGAGAAGTGCGTCCCTTTGCCCCGCCCAGGGATGCATTCACTGGGGACAGAGACTGCTCATCTACCCAGTGCCCGGAGCGCAGTAGGCGGCAGTGAGGAAGGAGGCGATGAGGGGGGAAGAGAGAGAAGAACAGGAGGAGGGAGAGCAGGGAGGAGGAAGCAAGGGGGAAAAGAAGGGAGCCAGAATGATGGAAGGACTCTGGGCTCTTTGGGGCCCGCCCCTCGTTTTTGAGGGCAGGGTTGACAGCTGCCCCCAGCAGCACCCCGGTATCTGAGACCGCCGAGTCCAGAAAGACAGGGTGAGGCCTGCGGCTGGGCTTGAACCAGCCTTGCCCTCCAGCCCAGCCCCGCCTGACCTTTGCCGCAGGTCCTCACCCAGCACAGAGAGAGCAAACCTCCTCTCGGCCCTCCCAGCGATGTTCTCGGCCACACAGCTGTAGTGTCCGGCGTGGGCAGCCCGGGCCTGTGTCACATGCAGGCTCTGACCCTGGTTCTGCAGCTGCAGGCCAGGCTCGGCCCCGATCAGCCGGCCATCCCGTTCCCATGTCACTGTCGGCGGGGGGTTCCCGGTGGCGTTGCATTCCAGAGTGGTCTCCCTGTCCTGGACCACGGAGACCTGTGTGTATGACTCCCGGGGGCCAGCGATCTGAGGGGGAACTTGGGTTGAGAAAGGGCGGGTCTGAGAAAGCTGCCCCAGGACGGGCACTTGGTGGGTTCCCCCCCACCCCTGCACCCTCCACCACTCACTGGTGGTGTGGCCTTGCCTCTCTGTGTCTCCATTCCCATCTCTGTAATGGGTCCTAACGGTGCCCCACGGCCATGCCCGCTCTTCCCAGATGCCCCAACCACCCCTACTGGAACCCTACAGCTTGGAGAACCCTGCAGTCCTTTGAGGCCTTGTGAGGGCTTTGCTCCCTCAGAAACCAGAGGGTCCCCAACATTTAGAGCGTAGGGGGGAGGGGGGCAGATAGGGGTGAGGATAAGGCTCTGGATGACGTCAGCATGGGATGTGGTATGGGGCTTCCCCAGGTTTACATTCTAGCGATGATGGGGTCCTGGGAACGTGGTGGGTTTCCCATTGGCTGCCAACCTCAAGGTCAGCCTTTCAAAATCACCAGCTGCCCCATCAGAGAAAGACGAGGCTTTCCGCTCCCATAAAGTGCTGCCGTCTCTGTTGTCCCTGGAGTTTGAGCTGCGGCCAGGGGGGAAGATGTGGAAGCAGGGGACGAGTCCCAGGACGACTGGAGGAAACCCCACTGACCGGAGCCCAGTCGCCCAGCTGGCCCGGAGCGACCGAGTCAGTGTGGTGTCTTTTTACTGGACATTGGGTGCTGACAAGGATAAGCAAAGTCCAAAATGAGAAGAGATCCGAAAAGGGAGAAACTAGCCCTGGGTGGACACGATCACAAGATGCCATGATAAGCCACCAAATGATGAAGAAAAGATGAACTGTTTCATGAGGAACGTTAGCACTTGGATGATGACATTCGATAGATCCTGGAGGGAAGTGGCTATTTCTGATGTTAGAGCTAAAGAGGACAAGAGGATCGGAATTTTCGTGGAGAATGGAGACACGATTAACACTTCCTGTGGGAAGTTTCACACTGGATGAAAAGAACTGAGTCCAAGCAACGCAGCTGCTTGTCGGAGAGCCAGTGTGGACAGCCTACAACGGGCCTGCCGACCATTGTGATGCCCGAGGACAGTCCGTGAGGCTCTGGGCACAGGGCCACGCGCTCCCTGCCAGCGAGCACACTACTTGTCAAGACCTGATAGTTGAACAGAAAAATCACCCACTTCCCCTTTGCCATTCTTTTAGACTTGAGGCTAGGTTATCTTTCCTTTGCCAGATGATTTGATCCGAATATTTAAAAATGAAAAGAACAGTAGAGCTGATTGTGATGCGGCGAGAACTATGAAACCCTAGACAAACCACACTCATTTAAGCAGGAACTGTGGCTCTGCAGCCCTGGGAGAATACAGTCATTCACCTTTAACCTGACTGCAAGCTGAGACCCAGAAAGTGCAGAATGGCTACTTAGCAATTCTGAGGTGCAAGTCTCCCTAACTTGTTATATAAAACCCCAAACTGACCTACTGTTTTAGAAGGGCAGCTTGTCGTGAAGTATGTTCTCCAGTACTTAGGTGCTTTATTATTCTCAATTCTAGATGTCAACCAATGCCACGTCTCTCGGAATAAAAACATTCAATCGGTGGCATAACTAAAGAATTCTGATACTTTTTTTCTCCCAAAAGGATAGCCTGAGATGGAGTGGATGGGGCAGCACCTCTCACTGTGGGGCACACTCTCAATGGCTGGGCCGCTTTCCAGTTCAGAATAAAACAGCTGCCTTAATTTTATGATGATGGTTGGAGTTACCTTATATTCAGATGTGTATACCGGGGGGCTTCAAAAATTCACGAAAATTTAAAAATTTCATTCCCTATTAATGTTTTGAAGGCCCCTGGTAGAGAATTTTTTATCTCGTTCCTTAAAGCCCCCCGTGCAGTGGTCTATGTCTAATTTAAATAGCACCGACGCTATTGCACACACAGCAGACTTCACCGTCTTGAGATCAGAAGGACTGGATGGTGCCCAGCTACTGCTATTGACCTCTACGAAGGAGATTGCATTAAAGGTCCGGAGTACCGTGGGAGAAAGATATGAAGCAAAGCTAAAAATGATAGCAAATCCCAGGTTAACTGGTCAGAAAGATACTGGCGGAACCCCTAAGGGTGTGCAATTAGTTACTGTTCAGACCCGGAACTGAGCTCAGCCCTGTAACTCAATTTTTCAGCTACCAAGGGGGTAAATCCTCCTTAGACCCATCAACAATTTGAGATCAAGAGGCGGCCATCCTCAGGACCAAGCTCAGAAGGTAGGAACAGTTAATAAAGAAACCCGCCTCACTGCGGCTGAGTCCCAAGAGGAATGTAGATACCAGAGGACATGGAATGAGAATGGAATGTTTTTCACAGTGGGGAATGCAGAAAACAAACAGTCCATGAATTGTTGGATGGAAAACTGACTGGCTCTAAACCTCCACTCACAATAAAAAAAGGTATGCATGTTAGTGGGGGGAAAAATGTTCCAGTCTTGGGAAGTCAAGGGGGCAGTCCCACCCCTTCCTGTAGGGTTGTCACGCAGCAGCGAGTGAGTCACGAGTTACGATGATTGAGTCCATCCCTGGCAGACAAACAGAATCCCACGTAGACTTCCAAGGTCCCTGGGAGCTTCCTATAATTTGGGCAGTTCTCTTGTTTCGAATGCTCCCTGAAGTGCTGTACGCTCTGGGTCACTGGGGGGTAATCAGGGGCCGTGGGTCCTTGGGGGTGTTAGGGACCGTGTGCACATGGTCCCATGCTGAGAAAACAGTCAGGGAAGGACCAATTCTCTATGAGAGAACAAGGTAGCATCCTCATCCTCACTGCTCCCCTCTTCACTCGGGACCTGACCCCGCAGTCCACCCCCTCCCGGCCCTCCTCGCCCCGCCCTCCGCCACCTGGCGGACTCACCATGCACCTGCAGCTGCTGGTCTTGGCTGCTGTTCCCCGCCACGTTGCTGCACTCACAGGTGTAGGTGCCCTCCTGGCTGGGCTGGGCCTGCCCCAGGTACAGCAGCCTCCCCACAGCCGACACCTGCTCGAGGCCGGGCCCCTCCCCAGGCAAGGGATGACCTGAATGCAGTAGGAAAGAAGCCCCTGCTCCAGGGCACTGCGAGACATGAGGCTCTTCCACCTGGAAGCCCTGGCCTCCCGTCTTTGCCAACTCCTGCTCCTCTTGCAGGGGCCCCCATGGATGCCGCCACCTCCAGGAAGCCTTCCTTGACTGCCGACGCCGAGCCCCTGCTCCCCCGAGATCCTCCCCATCACAGATCGAAGCTGCACGTGTCCCACCTAAGTCCCATGCTGGCCAGGGCCCATCCAGAGGGTGAGCCCTGACTCACTTTACTTTCCACCAGGGTCCTCAGAGGATCCCAGGGCCAACGCCTATCAGGGCTCAGTGCAGGCTACTTAATGCAGTGCCCTGGGCAGAGGAAGTGCATGCAGCTAACGCCCCTGGCTGCAAGCAGACCCTATCGGGGCAGAAGGTCTCGGTGAAGCTGGGAGTACTGGGGTCCACACGGACACTGCTGTCCTAGAGGACCACACTCCGGGCTCAAGGCATTCAACAATGCATGTCCCCCGGGGGAGGGGCCCCAGTGGTCAAGTGACAATGCCTCTCTCCTACATTGGCAGTCCAGGACTCCTCCTCTTCTTGACCCACGCCCCACCCCGTGGGCCTCCTTCTGTTATGTTGCTCCCAGAGTTAGTCTCAGCCCCGACAGCCCCACTAAGCTCCAGACAATACACCCACCGATCCCTCTCTCCAAACCAAACCTACTTTCATCAAGTTGGTTCCTACCCAAGGTTGCCCAGGAGGATCGAGTGGCATGCTCCACAGTTTGAGACTGTACATCTTTACCAAAACAGTCTCGTGGTTTTCCTGCAGAACGGCTGGTGGACTTGAACTGCCGACCTTGCCGCCAGCAGCCCAATACTTAGCCACCTGTGCCACCAGGGCTCCTCTGACAGGGCTCCTCTGAACAGCTCAGTGAGTGTCTAATTCATAAACCAAACACAGCCACTGGGTGTCCCTGCAGGACAGGGCAGAACTGCCTAGTGAGTAATTCTTTATGGGGTAGAAAGCCTCCTCTTTCTCCCGAGGAGTGACTGAGCCCTCCCCGCCACTCCCCATCAACTGGCGGGAAACCCTGGCAGCGCCACTCTCAAAACACACCCAGACTCCAGCCCCCCACATCCCTTTGTGGCCCCCCATCCAGGCCACCAGCCCCTCTTTCCTGGAGTCCTGCACAAGCCTCCTCCCCGGCTCCCCATGGTCCTACTGGCAGTTAGTCTCACGGAGGCCTTGGAACCACATCTTCTCCTTTGCCGACTCCGCTCAGTGTCTTTCTCCCCGTGGTGTTCCCATTCCGTCCCTCACCTTCTGCAAACGCTCCTGGCCACCCAGCATAAAACAGCAAGCCTTAACCCCTGCACTTCCTGGTCTGATTTTTCCCCCAACAGAAGGTGCCAAGTCATTCACTCACTTTGCTGACCCGACTCCCCCACTCTGAGGTCCCAGTGCCTGGACCAGGGCCCGGCAGCAGGCTCGGTGCAAATCCTCCCACTGGCTAAAGGAAGGAGTCCCAGGTACCGAGTGAGCACCTATTTTGTACCAGGCACCAAACTGGGAGCCCAGTGGTGGCCAAGAGGGGGCACATGGAGGGACTAAGGTGGGTGATGGGGCCAGTTAGCCCAAAGGGGCTGCCTTAGAAAGTCCTGCCTCAGTCTAAGCGTGGGAGTCAAGGAGGGCTTCCTGGAAGAAGAGACATCAGAAGCAAAGGCCGAGGACCCATCCAGCTCTCACTGGCTAGGGAGGATCGAGGAAAGCGGGGGGCAGGCCCAGGAACAGAGCAGAGGGAGGCTGAGGGAAGTGTCACCCCATCCCATAAGCCAGCAAACCCACCCACCTCAGTTAGGCCTGGGACTTTGGGGGTGGGGAGTAGTCTCCTTGTGCAGGGC